ATCTGAGATGGGTGAGACGAAGTCTGTGCTTCAGACCCACCGGTGATGCGCACACGGGTTTTGATCAGCCTCATCGCATAAGGTGTTGATGTCGAAAGGCGGCGGCTGATCAGCTGTGTATTCAGGATGTAGATCGATCTCGTGAGCGTGAGCGTTCTCTGGGGGTTGTGGTGATTGTTGAGAAGGGAAAGCTGGAATGGCTGTGAGATCGTGCTGGGGACTGTGAGTGGTGGGTGATGTGGCGAGAAAGTCAGTGGTGTGTGGTGGGAAGTACGCTGTGGGATCCAGGCGGTATTGGCCAGGTAGAAGGAGGGCCTGGTAGACATTGGAGCAATCTGCGAGCTCGCATCAGGCGCATTAATTGTGGCTCGCCCTAGCTCAACGACACTGCTGTGGTATTGGTGAAAGAGCCGGAAAGCGTTGTCATCCACGAACATGGTAGGGTCTGGTAGAGGTCCATCAGCCATGGGATGTTCCAGGATGTGTGTGACCAGTACAAACAGAATATCAAACAGCCGGCTTAGGAGCAGGAGTTCTGGCTGGTGAGTGAGGGATGGGGCGAGGTGAATGGGGCCATTGCCTGGAAGAAATGGCTGATTGGACTGAGTGTGAATGTTTTGTGGAGCGGTATTCTGTGGCGTGTGGGTGGAGCCGGGCTGATGGCTGGTGTTCATGTCAAGATTGAGTTCCATGTCACTGGCAGCGTCAGGGTGTGCGGCAGCCATGATGGGGCAGCATGAGAAAAGCGGCAGGGTGCGCAGGAATCACGTTCAATGGTAAATGGCTGCGATGTGATCAGCAAAGAGTGCGGAAAAACTCGGGAGTAGATCGAACAAAGTGTTGTAAGTGGAAGTGGAGCATGGTCCACAAAACAGCGAAAAAGGTTCTAAAGAAATAAACTCGTGACAGTTGGTCTTCGGCTGTCTGCACTCACTGGCCGAGCATGCAATTATTTCCGGCAGCGCGCCTAGGGAGACTGGGTGAAACCTGAGGAATCATACAAAATAGCTGCCTAGGAATTGGTCATCTGCAGGTTCCGGATGACTGTCCTCACTCTTGGTGCGCCGCGCCGCCGCTGTGTAGTCCGCTGCTGCAGATGATAGTGGATGACGTGGAGATGAAGAGTCGGAGAAGTCTGCCTCAGAGTGTAGCTGCTGGAGAGGTGTTGCTGGCGGAGTTCGTGCTGGTGAAGTGGGTGGGGGAGATGGCCGGTGAAGAATGCGTGGAAAGAAGGTGAGGAGGTGTGGAAGCTTCGTGGATGGGTGGCCAATCTTGAATTTCTTGCCAGCGGGCTTTGCACTGTTCAATGGAGAAGCCCACGCGTCGGGCTACATAGCTCCAATTGGGTCGGAGGTGAGGGTCTGTTTTCAATTCGACCAGGCAGCAGTCTGCTTCGCCGTCCCAATCATCCCAATTGGCCTGGGAGTTCAGTGGTGGCGCTAGTTGTCGTCGTTTCTTGCGATGTAGTGGCTGTGGAATAGGTGTGGGGGAAGAAGAGTCAAGAGATGCTGTTGGTTTGCGTGGTGTTGTAGGAAGTGGATGTACTGGTGCTGAGTCGCAAGAAGATGTGGGTGATGGTACTGGTATGGTGAATGAAGGAGGTGGCGGAAGAGGGGGAAAGCAACGCTGGAAATGAGTGTCAACCTGTCCTGTGTGGAGCAGGTATAGGCTATGTAGGTTTGCCAGAATGTCAGTTGCTTGTTGGAGAAGGCGGTGTAGTTGTGTGAGAGCGATGGTGGTGCGGTGAATCAACTGGATTTGATCTGGGCTAGGATTCATCCTGTGTGAAAGCTTGGCTGATGAATGTTCGTGGACAGCAGCACGGCAGCGCGGTATGCTCAGCGCGGCAGCCCAGGCAGCATGAACGAGCGGCTGAGACGTGCAAATGAATTATCGAGTGTGAATTATCGAGCATGAATTTCGCAGCAAACGTGAATTTCGCAGCAAACATGGGGCCTCTATGGAGGCCTCAAAGAGTACCGGGTCCGTGAGGGCCACAAGTTGAAACGCATTAGGAACAAAAATCCATCGGAGTCAGGAGATCGCAAGATCCATGTTCAATCAAGATCACATGAAGGGCAGCTCATGAACAATCAAAGGAAACACAATCAGTGTTTGCATGTCGCATCGTGAAAAGGTCAAAAACTGCCATGAAGTGAATCAAACATAGTGTCCAGGCGATAGAATCGCTGCATATGGAGGTCGAGCCACGCTCGGGCTTTTTTGCCGGGCGAGTGGTATGTAGTGTTGGGTGAAACGGTTGGAAAGGTGGCCATCAGGGTGGAAGCTGTTGTTGTGGGGAATCACGTGTCTGGTGGAGTGGAGTTGATCGACCACGCCAGGCCTTTGACGATTGCGTTGTCGGGGTGAATGACCCAGCATCTGGCTTTGGCGTGGCTGACGGCACCGTGGTTTGGAGAAGGAGGTTCATCGCTTGCTCCTCTCCGCCGCTAGTGAATTTGGTGCCTTGACCCCAGGCAAGGAAGTTGATAATGAGTGAATGTGTGTTTTTGCGAGGTTCCAAGTGTTGTGGAGAATGCGGGCATGTTCTGCGTTGTCGTGTTGTGGTTGTTGTGTGATGCGTACGGCTTGGGCAAAGAAGCCCGGGTTGTTGGGGAAGTGGAGTGTGCTGGGCAGGAAGCGGCCCTGTTGGAGGATGTTGGTGATGTTGCCGAGAGGGCCGGTGTGGCCAGCGTTGATGTGTACCATCTCTGGTGTGGTGGAGGTCGCACGTGTCGCTGGTGGTGGAAAGCTGCGGGTTGCTTTTTGCACAAGGCTGGGAATGGTGATGCAGTGGTATTGGTAAATGTCGTGGGTGTTGGCAGTGTCATTCCATTTGATGCGAGTGAATTGTCTGAAATCTGAGAGGTCTTTGTAAGTAAGGCCACTGTCGAGCAACAGGCTGGCTATGTAGGTGTGTTGTGGTTTGTTGGGTGCGTCAAGCTGGTCGGCATGACAATCAAGCCAAAGTTCCAGTTGTTCTTGTGGGGTGCGTTGTTGGAACTGTGGGGACGGGCGCCAGGGTTTGGTAGGCCGGCGCAGGCGGGAATGTTGGGATAGCTGGTGTGTGACTGGTTCGTGACAGCATCTTGTTGTAGTGAGTCGTTGTTGGGCAGAAGGGAAATGGGTGGTCTGGAGCGGCTGCGTGAGCGGCTGTATGAGTATGTGGAGTATGTTGAGGAAGGTGATCGCGGGCGGTGGTGTCGCGATGGTTGATGTCCGTGGTGCGGCGGCGGCGAGTGCGCCTACCGCGAGTGTGATGGCGATGGCGGCGACGATGATGTCGGCGATGGCCGCTGCTTTGGTGATTGAGAGCGTTGGGTGGTGGATGTTGTTGTGAGCTGGTGGTGGATCGGAGATGTGTGTACCCATAGGATTGTCGGATGGATTGGAAGCTGCTGCAGCAGAAGGTGGTGGTGGGTGTGAAAGAGGTAGAGGACTTGAAGAGGTTTGCTCAGTGGTAGGGACAGGGCGGTCTGCTTGTGTTGAAGGCGCTGGTGGGAAGTAACGGTGGTACTGAGGTGAAGGGTCAGGGGGACCTGAAGTGGCGGCTGCGGGAGTCGGGCCTGGCTGAATTTGGCCTGGTGGAGTATGACCCTGTTGAGTGACTGGCGGAAAGACCGAAAAGGGTTGCCAGACTCCCTGGCTGTAGTCCCATTGCACTGGTTGGCATGCTTGCGGTGGAGCTGGTTGAGTGTGTGGCGCTGGTGGTGGTTGTGGGGAAATCATGGCAGGAGGTTGTGATGGTGAAGGTTCCTGCGGAGGTAGTGAGTAGGAAAATGGAATCGTGTGATGATGTGGTAGCTGAGGTACAAGCTGTGGTTGTGGTTGGAAGTGTAGCTGTGGTGGGGGTTGCCATGTTGGCTGTGGCATAGGCGGCAATGTAGTTGGTATGTGTGAGATCATGGGAGGCATGTGAGGTTGCGTCTGTTGGATGGGAAATGTCTGTGCTGTGGTAGGTGGTGGTTGATGAGTCCAGTATGGGCATGGCCACGGACACTGCATTGGCTTGATGTTGGTAATAGTCGAAGTTCCACTCAAAATGCTATAGCTTCAGAGGTGTCGGCTGCTCAATGGCACCAGCGCGGCGCGGCAGCAGCTGAAAGTCTCTGCTACTTGTACCCGTGGAGTGAAATCGTGAGATGGTGAAATGGTGGAAGGTCAGACAGTCAGACATGAAGATGAGATGGAGGATGAAGAGCGTGAAACAGGTGATTCATGGTGGAAATGTGAAATGTCGTGTCCTGTACATGGTGGAAGGCGAAATGTTCTGGTACATCCTTGAAATTGAAAGTGCAGCCGCAACAAATTCGAAGGAGTAGCTCTTGCATACATGTCGCTATGAAATCCGAAGGTGCAGAAATCCATAAATCCGCAAAAAGCCCGGCGGCTTTTAATCCTGTTAATTCAGTATTGGCATGGAAGTAGTGACAGTGATCCACGATGAAACGGTTTCCGGTATGAAAGCGGCGCCTCCTTGCGGAGGATCACACCCAGCACCCAAGTGGGACGGCTGAGCGGTTCACACTCTGACATTGGTTTGCTGTTAACTCAATTCCCAGGTGGAAAGAAGGTGAGAGATCGGCAAGGTGAAAAGTCCGAAAACTTGTAGATGTTTGAACAAGTGGTTGATGCGCATCTGCAGAACTCACGGCGGCAGCTCACGATGACGGCAGCTTACGAACGGTGGAAACCTGTTTAGAGGGAAGGTAGCATGAAAACCACCATGGAAACAAAGAACAGCAGCGAGGGGAACCAGTGGAGTCAGTATGTTCAAAGCAGGTACAGGAAGGTGATCAGATTTCCCTTCCGATCCATGACCGCAGCTTCGTTGCACACGGTAGGTCATGGATGCCGTGCGCCCCTGCTTTTGTAGTGGAAACGCAAAGAGAAGCGGTACCCTTAGGAACAGGGGTTGACACACACACACACACACACACACACGCACACGCACACCGCAATGTCACTGCTATGCGTCAACTCTATCTCACAACCCTGACCTTCTCCCAAAGAAGCTTCCATTGCTCCAATTTCTCTTCTGATGGCTCTGGGACAGATTCTGGTCTTTCATCATCTGCGCGCGCATCATGCTGGGCGTCCTCTGCGCTGGCAATACGAAGTGCAGATGCGCACTCCCGCAGCATGTCAGCATCGCTTGGCTGCTCAGGTGAAATGAACGCTCTTACGCATGAGCCCGGCAAGCATTCAGTATTGAAATCCCCTGCAAAAATTGCATCCCTTGTACCAAGAGCACGAGCTTTATCCAAGCACTTTCGGAGCTGATCAACTCTCTTCTCTTCACTTTGAGCATCCAAATGAACCGAAAAAAAGGCGGTCGATTCCAAGCAACGTAGGTCAGACTCCGGGCGCCCTTCCAAGCAAGCACACACCAGTGTGTTTGGATCGCCGCCTGCCTCCTCCCTAGAACTCCGCACAAGACGGTCGCTGCGGAAGAGAAGGGCGCATCCAACGGCAACTCGATTTGCAAGGACGCGCTCATTTCTATCAGCGATCTGTGTCAAGTATTTGTCTCCAGGCAAACAGGCTGTATACCCTTCAAGCTCTTCTATCCACTCTGGAAGACTGAAGGATCCATCGGGCTCTGTATGGAATTGAACTTCTTGCAAGCACACCACCTGAAATTAAAACTCAAAGGCAAACGACACCATGCCACCACTAACCACCTACTTAGATGGTCGCTTCCTTATAACTGAGGGTTAAAAGTTGTAAAAATCCTTCGAAAGTTAACAGACTTATAACCAGACTCAAGTGACTTAGGGCATACTTAGTTGAAAATTGTAAGTAGGGTTACTGTATAAGTACGGCTGCGGACTTAGAGGACTTAGCACACTTATAAAGACCTGGGCGGGGCTGCCTTGACGCGCAATGGATGTTTTGCATCCGTATGTTGAAAAAAAGCGTTCTACTTAGGTTATGCTTAGTGGACTTAACTGACTTGTCAGACTTGTAGACTGAATAGACTTGAGACTTATGTCACTTATAAGTATTACAGTAGTATGCTAAGTTCACTCAACAGCAAGCGACCATCTAAGTAACAGTATGAACGTCTGTTGGACCTATTGCAAGCAAGGGTCATCAGCGTGCCAAGATCGCAACTGCTCCAGCAGTTTGCGCTTCCGAGTTTCCCAATCTAAATCCTCCTGGCAATGTCTCGAAACAAAGCTGACACTCCCAACAAAATGTCGACCTTGGAATTCACCCAATCGAAACTGCATCTAAGCACAAAAATCAACGCCTTCAAACAGTCCATGCAGAGTTCCCCCCGCGTGACCTTTCCTCCAAAGCCAGCGCACGTTCCTCCAGCTTTTTGGGAACGTCACTACTGGACCTAGACCTGAAATCCATTTGATAAATTGGAACAAGGCATAAGAAGCCCCGGATCTCCGCCTTCACTGCCTGTTCATGTCTTCCTGCGCTGTGGACTGACTTGATGAAGGGGCGATCTGCGCATTGCTGTTTCAACATGCTGCTTCACAAAAGATCATGGCTTCTCAAGCTCCCTTGACATTGACACGGCAAAAAATGCTTTAGCCGCTAGTGGGGCCTGCGCTACCTTAGCCTCGGAGGTGTTCCTTCTCAGCATGTGTCCGCTCAACGATATTCGTTCTGGCTGTAGCGGCAGCGTCACCATGGTTGACACTCTGACAATTCTGGCGCACAGAAAATCAAGTTTGCAGTCCTCTGAAGCCCACTGGAAGGCTGCAAAGGGTTGTATCTCCCCAGTCCGCAAATCAACAGGACGTACAAAGGCTGGCGCTAAAAGGTTGTAGCTCAAAACCTGCCAGCCCAACACTCCAACCTACACATCACAGAAGTGGAAAGCGGACCTTTACGAACATCCGCAAACCCAGTGCTCTGTTGAGATCGGACAAAGCTTAAAGAGCAAACTGCGCAAATAATAAGCACCGAGACGCAGAGACATATCTTGGTTCAGCATCCAAGGGCATTCCTTCACAAAGGTTTCCGAAGGCTTGCAAACTCCAAAAACCACATCCAAACCAGAAACACACATTTCAGTCGTTGATTTCTCATGTGGCCAAGAGCGGCAGCGAAGCATTTGGGTTTGTTTTTCAAGGCATTGATAGAATCTTGGTCTCACTTGCCCCCCGCATCCTCGTGGAATCGTGGAGACCGTCGCAGCGGCCGTCATGCGGCGAGGGGATGAGCCTGGCCAAGGCCCAGGCGCCGTCCAAAGACTTCATCACAACACAGTCCACGAATCTTCAGAGCGTGATACACAAAATCACATAACATGAACTGGCACGGGGTGTGCATTCGGGGTGTGACGCCGCCGCCGCCGCCACCGACTTTAAAAACGGCAAAACGACGATGAAATCACTCCAAACAAAGAGAAGGAAGTTGGCTTAAACACCCACAATGAAGAAGGGGTGTTGAGCCAATGCAATACAGGATTTGGCGCCAAATTATGGCAGCGCGGCAAAAAGCGCTACAGATATTTGTGGCAGCGCCCTGATGCACCCTGCAGCAGTGCCCTCCAAGGCGCGCACTACCACAAACACTGGCAGCGGCGCCCTGGCTCCAAAGCGCCCACTGCCATAGACACCTAGCAGCGGCACCTTGCAACAGCACCAGCATCTATGCTCCAAAGCGCGCATGGCCATACACCTGGCAGTGGCACTCTACAATAGCAGCACCAGCGCTGAGGCTTGCAGCAGCACCCTGGAACCGCATAGCGGCGCCAGCTCCCAGGCCCGAAGGCACACACAGGCACTTGAAGCAATAGCCCATAGCCCCCAAAAATTGTGTTACCTAGCGAACAAATTTACAATGGGTAAATCACACGGGAAGAGGCGCACATACAAACGACGAAAAGAAACATTCAAAACCCCAGTTAGTACCAGAGGTCTCCAACGTCAACGTGAGGCAACGGAACCCGTAGGTTCAATTCGGTCCCTGCCATCTCCGTTGTCAAAAACTGCAGGTAGCCGTGCCAAGGCTGTCTGCAGTACGCGGGCGGCGGCGGTGATGGAAGATCCGGCTGCGGATTTTGTCAAGTCGCAGTCGCAGACCAAAAAAATCCAACATCTCAACACAATAACTCGTGTGAATGTCCTTGGCGATTTGCAATCACGTTGTAGCTTCAACGGATACTCCGAAGCGACGGGGTGTAATTATGACATGTTTGTTGCACACACCTCATTCAAACAAAGCAGCGACCTCGTTTCGACGCCCACAGCAAGGAGCGCCAGGGAGGAGTACAAAAAGCAGCTAATAAAATCGTCCTCCTAGAGCAGAAGCCAAGCTTTCATGAACGCGCTACTGGCACTAGAGAGCCGCAAGTCCATGACTCGAACCCGAACCCAACCAGTGAAGGTTCGTGAACCTTGTTGAACCCGCTGGATGTCTTGCTGAGAATCGGTGCATGCCTCACATTCCTCAAAATTTTCCAGAATGTCAGCTCCTGGGAGTGCAGTTTTTCACGTTATTTTCATTAGCAATAGGCCTAGATTTTACTACATAAACTGCACTCCCATATGCATGATCATTTGGGTCACCTGAACCTGGTAGCAAACAAGGCAATATTTGCAGACTCTTGGAACGAGGGATGCCAAAAACCGTCAAAAAAAAACAAACAATATTCCCAGGCTCTGGAAGGGGGTCCCAGGCCAAGACTCTCTGAATATTGTTTTTTTTTTGTGTTTGTCCACAGGGTCCAAAACTTTCCACAGAGTGCTCTCCTGGTAGTGCAGCGACAAATGTTAAGTCGTTTCCTCGCAAATGTGTGTTCTTTTGAGTCAACATATGTCAAGAAAACTGCACTGCCAGGAGGGCACCCTGTTAAGATTTGTCAAAACAACTACACTGCGAGGAGGGCACTCTGTTATATAACCTTTGTTATTAAGAAAACTACATTGCCAGGAGTGCGCTCTGCAGAAGATTCTGCACTTTGTGAGCACTTCTTGAAGAAAACACGCTAAAACACACCCACACCAGCTCGCGATCGATCCATCGTTCGCCCCTCGATAGCCCTTCCACTATGTGGGGTGCCAGAGGGTATGTATGTACGACAAGAAGAGAAGATTTACAACACGTGCAACCATCGGTCAACCAAACACCGGATTAAGACACAGTGTATGGTGAAGAAAATGATGAATTAACACATCACTGAGCGAAGGCATCTAATTTGGCACATCGAGAGTATCAAGAGACTGTTTTTGACGGAGACATTTTTTGATTTTCTGGTAGAGGTTGTGGCTTTTGTCATATGAGATGTCACCATAAGATGGATTCGGACAGGAGTGGGGGTGTGGAATAACGGACTGCACAACTCGAACATTTAGTGGATACGATTGTTTGGGCAGCGAGGCATAGGCTTGAAGATTTTGCATAAGCAAATCCGCATGCGGTAGAAAAGGACGAGCTGAAATACCACCCACCAAACTCCTATGGAATCCCAATCTGACTAAGGAACTTGCGTTGGTCTGTTTATATCGCGGAAAGAATGAACATTGCAGGGTATTGCCTGATGCCATAGGCATCGTTTAGAGTTGGGCTGAATCTTAGCTTCAGGAGAGTCAAATGGATACGGGCGAGGTACTTTTTTGGCTATATGATATATCCAAATGGGGAGACAAGTACCAGTGAAGAGGGCATAATACATCGCAAGTTCATACCAAGTTGTGCCGAAATCACCAGGGGTCACAGGGGCCTCATGCGGGCGCCAACGAAATGTACGAAACATCTGCCATACTTATACGCCACACTTGCACCAACTGGACAGCCTTGGGCAACTACTTCTGGAAAGTCTGTGTCCAAAGACCAGTACACAGGACCGACATTCCACTGGCACAATGCCAGTTGAAAGTTGGCATAAGCGTCCAAAGTATTATGCTGATGTTCTGAGGCAGCGTTCGTTTCTTTTTCCAGTTTCAATTTTGAGTGAAGCATGTTCAGTTCAGCAAGATACTGATAAATCAGCATCAGGACATTGACTTGGTTGGTAGTATGCTGGAAGACAGCCTCTGCTGCATCTTGAAAATGTGGGACATCAAGCTGATTACAGTAATTGTCTTGGCTGCTTGATCAGCTAAGTCATTTCCTAGGATTGTATACAAATCATCGGTGTCAATCGCTTCTTCGAGCTTGCGATGCGATTTTACCTTCCGAATCTGGCAGAAAAGAGGGTTCCAACTTCCAACACACTTGAAGCTGATAAATGAGATCAGCATGCTATCTTGGTATCCAATGTATTTGATGCTACCGCCTCAACTAGACGAAGGGCATAGTCGGAGTCGGTGTGAATTGACATAAACTGGCTGGGGCGATATTCAGTGAAATATTGCGCGAGCCATGCTATGGCCCTATTGATGGATTGATTCCCGGCCACGTGTGAACTTTGTGTGACCACAAAGTCATCTACCGATGGGTCATGGGAGTTAGTATTTACATGTTGAACAACTGCCCATGCTGCAGGGCAACAGTTTTGAAATTTGGGACGATCGCAGCTCCCATGAGTGTAGAACACATAATGGGATGTCGGTACTAGGAACATCAAGGAATGGACCTTGGCGAACATTTTTGAGGAGGTTGTAAGCCGTCTGCTTGGCATGCACAGTAGCTACGGGGAGCCAAAGGAGATTAGGGAAGACTTGTAGAAGGCGTACTGCTTCCGGGCGGCGATCTCTGACATGTTGAAAATGAGCACACTCAAGTTGGCGATGCGAATGCGTATCAGGTTGATCGCAATAGGTGCACAATGCGGACTGTGTAGAGTCCCACAAGGATTTTACTGCGTTCGTCTGATATCCTCCGGTAAGATTGAGTCCGATAAGTTTACGAGTCTGATCAGACAGCTTACGATTAATCTTGTGCTGAACATATGGGTCGAAGGGGGTATGTGTCACCCCTTTGCGGTGTTGGATTTGATCATAGACATAATAAACCCAGGCAGACCGGAGAGCGCGGCGAATCTCACTTGGCGAGTGTGCACGAATACAGAGTTGTTGACCATCAGGAAGTTCAATCATGGCATTTGCCATAGGTTTCCATTTGACTTTATCAAGATACTTACCCAAGGCCGCACATGGACCACACTTAGTGTCATGACGAACTACATGGAGCCACATTTCAGTGGCTAACTGATTATGATATTGGAAAACACGGCGAAAGCTGCAGATGGCTGTACTAATGACGTATAACATAGGGTCTTCAATTTTAGGCGAAAGAATCGATAAAGCTAGCATGGATGAAGCATATTTGTGTTTCCCGACTAGCACGTCGGTAGCCTGTCGGCGCAATCATGTAAAATGGGTTTCACCAATGAATTGGCTTTCTGCTGCGTAAAATGCTAACGGCCATATAGCTGTCTGTATCTTAGAGGCCCTTTCATCTATTGTAAGATTATGACAGCGAAACCCCTACTGGCTATACGTGTGCAGTTCATTTCGTTTGAACATGTTTGCAGTTTGCTTTGTGAAGTGGTACAGAGGGCATGAACCATACCTAGCCCTTTTGAAGATGAATCAAGCTGGAAAAGATTTTCGAGCGAGCTGGGTTATGAGCCCAAATCCTCGCGACACTGCGTAAGCCATGTCGGAGGGGTCAGAAAAGACTCCTGAATCCAATGGGCAAAAAGCACTAGAGGACATTCAACCTGAGCATGGGGCTTTGAAGTTGGCTGGGCCTCCGGCGACCTATGGACCTCAGGGGAACCCTTTTTGGAGCGAGTCTCTACGTGAAGAGGCACTACTTCGTGCTTGCCGTCCGTCGCACCTTCCGAGTAATGTTCCTGAGTCATTTCAACCTGTTCCACCTACTGCAAGTCCACCGAAGGAGATGGATGCCTTTCGCTCGGTGGTTCAAGGCTTGATGCAAGAGAACGCAAGACTGCGGTCGGAAAGGGAAATGTTTGCGTCTGGTCATGGAGGCTGGAACTACAACCCCATGTACGGCTACCAGCAGTCTTGGCTTGGAGGGTTGCTTGGAG